CAGAATTTCCCTTGTTTGATTAGAAATATGAATAGGAACATTGTGGTGAAGGACTCTCTGGTGAAGATTTCCCAGGTATTTTTCTGCTAAAGCTTTGGCTAACTTTCTCAGAACACTCTCATAATAAGCAGAGGTTATTATTCTTTGGTCTTCCCAAAATTCAACAAACAAAATGCCTTGAACATCCCCCAAAACTGTTGCCATGACCTTTGTTCTTGACTGATCTGCTTTTGCTTTGACTGGACCACTTCTACTTCTTGGCAACCATGGCTTTGATTGTGCTCTGTCTTCAGGATCCTACTGGTAAAGCCATGTATCATCTCCTGTTACAATTTTTCAAAGAAGCACTTCAGGATCTTGATCCCACTTGTTTAAAATTTTCATCGAAAGCTTTACTCCTGTCTGCAGCTGATCTGGGTGAAACAGTGTTGGAAGCCATCAAGCAAAAAATTTGTTCAACTAATTTTTCAGTCAGAATTGTGTAAGCTGAACCAGTTGCCATGTGTATGGTGTCAGCTATTGTTTCTACTGTTAATTGCTGGTCCTCTTCAATTAGGACATGAACAAGATTAATTTTTTCCTCACAAATTGATGCAGATGGTCTGCCGCTGTGAGTTTCATCTTTGACATTATCTTATCCCTTCCTAAAATGAGTTATCCATTTGTAAACTGCAGATTTCTTTGGGGCATTATTCCCTCAGACTTTTCTTAAAGCATCAATTATTTCACCATTCTTCCACCCAAGCTTCAGCATAAATTTGATGTTTCTTCTTGCTTCAATTTTAGCAGAATTCATGTTGCTCTGATAGGGGTCCTTTTCAAACGGATGTCTTATCCTTCTTAGTGCCTTAAGCTAGATCCTGTTCAAACATAACAAGTTTGTATGAGTTTATTTTGGTGCAAAATTTGTTTGAAATCCATGCATAGCTTTTTTTAAATAATATGTGTTTTCCATGAACTTTTTGAAGACCACTTGTACAAGTGGAGACAACAAACAGTAAGTTAGGTGTATGGCTTTGGAGCTCAGAAGAGAGGGCTAACCTAGAGATATAAAACTGAGAATTATCAGCATAAAGACGGTAATTGAAGTCATGAAATAGGTAATTTTATTGTAGGGAGAGAGTAGAGTGAGTAAGGAAAGGTTTATGACATCACAACAAACATTTAAAGGTTATATGGAAGAACCATGAAATGAGATGGAGAAAGAATGGTCAGAAAGAAAGAAGGAAAACCAAGGGAGTGAAAGTTCTACAAATCCAAGGAAAAAAGAGTGAATTAAGAAGGAGGATTATCATCTGAGGTGAATGCTGTTGAGTTTCCAAGAAGGGTGGATTTAGCAATATGTGTCATTGTGACCTTATCAAGAACTATTTCAGTGGAGTTGCGTGGGGCAGAAGACAGATTGGAGTGGGCTGAGGTGAAGAAATGAAGACGTAAATGTAGACAATTCAAGAAAATTGTGTTTAATGGTAGGAGTGAAATTGTTCAGTAATTGAGGGGGCTGAAGAATATGGGGGGGGGGGTTGCTTGTCTGTTTGTTTGAACATTGGAAAGAGTAGAACACGTTTAAAAGCCAAAGGAAGAATCCAGTAGAGAAGGACTGGTTGAAGATATAGACAAATAAGAAGTTACCTGATGACATAAATCTCCTGAAGGCAAAAGTGTATGGGACCCAGAATATAGATTGAGGGATTACCCTTTAATAGAAGGAAGGATATCCCTCCATGCTAACATGGAATGTTAAATATTGAAATGTCTGCAGTCTCCAAGTTTGGAGGTAGAGTTGTCTCTAGGTTTAGTAGTAGAGGTTCGGAGGTAGAGTTGAGTAGGTAGTGAGGATATTTGCTGAGATTGGAGGGAGAGAGAATGATAAGAGGGAAGTTTGAGGAGACAATTTTTGGTCAAGCTTTTCACATGCCATTTTTGTTCTAAAGCTCCCCCATGATTATTAAGAGATAGTGCAATGAAGGGGTTAAGAACATGGGATTTAGAGTAAGAGTGTTTTGGTCCAAACCTTGGCTCCATCACCAATTACTTGTATGACCTTGAGTAAATCACTTTACGTTTTTGTCATAAGTTTCTTCATTTGTGAAAAAGGGATCATAATTTTACCTACCGTATAATTTTATTATGGAAATAAATTAAGTGTGTTGATGCACGTGAAGGGCTTAGAACAGTGCCTGACAAATAATAAGCACTGTAGTGTTGCTGTCATTATTAATGCTCTCTAAGTAGTATCTGAGTCCATTTGTTATTGGAATTCATGGAGATGCAAAAGGCAAACTACTGGGCGTGAAGGAGGGTGAATTTTTTCTCCATAAGTTGATATTTTAGCTTTGTAATTAGATCAAAACTACACCAGGGATATTCTTAGTCATATATATTTTTTACATCCCAGGATATCGGTGAATACCAATATATCCCAGTAGGGAGGACTTGGTCCATAGAGGATGGGACTGAGAGTGGTTTCTAATAAGGAGCCTTGAGGATTGTGTCCTGAGCCATAGAGTGATAGTTTTTCTAAATCCAGAAGCATAGACAACACAACCAGTTGAGGTTTTCAGTCTTGCTCCAGCCCTCTTTTCTGTCTTTTTTTTTTTATATTAGGAGAGAAAATGTTCACATCTGTGCCTGGAAAAATCACCATTTGTTTTTAAGTGGATGAAGTGGTACTGTTGCTTTCTGGAACAGCTTTGGAAATAGCCACAAAACATCTAGGTAAGTTCCATAGGAGGGGGGAACCTCAGCCCCAAAACACAAACATTTGCTCCCCACATTCACTGAAAAAATATTGTGCCAACTTAGTGACATGAATATAAAGATTGAAAGGCTGAAGATAAAGATACGCTTGGTTGTAAAAGATGGGGCCAGCTTGGGAAGAGTAGATGAGAACAATCAGTTAAATGCAGCTAGCTGATATAGTGCCTTGAAGGTCAAATCAGGAACGTGGGCTGTCAAACTTTGCTAATATAATCTGCATTAGTGGAAAGCCTAAATTACATGTACATAATAATATTCCACTTCGTTATTTTCAGAACATCCTGTACATATGAAATGGCTAAGTGTTGCCTAGCAGAGGTTCCACCAGACCTGATCCTGCCTGATTTATAATTAGCACATTTATTTGTTAGTATGCAAATGAGTACTGCTATAGTACTTAGGAAAAATTGTGTTATGAAATAAGTGTAACGTTCTTCCCGCAATCTTGCTCCAAGTATTCATTAATGCTACCAGCCTTTTTATTTTGTAGATGGTACAAAGTTAAACAGCAAACCAGCAAATGTATGTGAATTTACGTGATGGCAGTCTAGTTGTGTTAGACTGAGAAAGTGCTATTAAGACATGGCAAATCTTTGAGTGAGTAGCAATCGTGTAAAATGGATCTCACAGCAGCATATAATACAGTTTAGAGAAGGTGCACACTGGAATAAGCAAATACAAAACTTCCCATTTGTAAGCCCATTTGTTCTAATTTAGACTTTTGTACAGGTAAGGCAAAAACTCTTTGGAGTGAAGATTCAAAGCCTAGCTCTACCACTTACTAGCTGTGTGACTTCAGCTGAGCATGATTTTATGTGCTTAGAACATAGGTGATTCTCAACAAATATTAATTGTTGACTTCCTCTCTCTATATATGAAGACATAAGCAGTATGGGGCAATATAGCATAGTGGTTAAGCAAGAGGGCTCTGAAGGGAGAGTGACTGAGCTCAGAATTTTGACTCCACTACATTGACTATATATCATTTTTTTTTCCCCCTTTTTGTCTTTTTTTGTGACTGGCAATGGATTGCAACCCTCAGTGTCACGCCCGTACCGGACCAGGACCGGCAACGGGATCGCAACCCTCGGTGTTGCTCCCGCACCTCGCTCAGCCAGTGAGCGGCCAGTCTGTATGTGGGATCCGAACCCTCGGCGGGAGCATCGCCACACTCCCAAGCGGCGCACTGTAGCAGTGCGCCACCGGGCCGGCCCCGACTATATATCATTTTGATTTACTTATTCAACTTCTTTAGTCCTTGATTTCCTCATATGTAAATTGAGCATCTTAGTAGTCCTGCTTAACTCATGAAGTGGTAGTGAATATTTGATAAGATAATCCACACAAAGCACTTAGCAGAGCTCCTGCAACACTGAGTCCTCAATAAACACTAGCTCTCAAAGTGTTACCCCCAAACTTTGTTTATTTTGGCTTATGCCCAATCACCTCCACTATAAATGGTCTTCTTAAGGACACTTAACATTACCTCTATGTTGCTTAATCCAGTGGACGTTCCCACATGACTTTTCTTCAGCATTTAATGTGGGTGACTAATTTCCCCTTGTTCAAATGTGAAAACAAGGAAGATTTTAAGAAGATATAAAGAGGTGGTGAATTACTTTGAGGATAAAATTTTGAATCAGATGCTGGAAGGGGATTGTGGAGTCTCTGTCTCCAGAGCACTAAAAAGTTATCAGCTAAACCATCACATGTGTTTTGGATACTTACCTGGCCAAAGACGGGGGCTGGTTCAGATCTTCTCTGGAGTTTTCTTTTTGCCTTTAGAGTCTGTGATTCTTCCAAATTAGTGAATGGTAGCAGCTTCTATTTGTGCAGCAATAGCTAAAATACAGACCTAGGCATTTTGCATGTGTCCCTGCAATCCTCACAACACCCCTGTATAGTAGATATTCTCCACATCTTAAAGTTGATGAAATAGACTTAAAAAGGACAGATAACAAGGTCATGAAGATAGCGAGTTATAAATCTAGAGTGTATATTTATTTCATTTATTCACTCATTCTTGTATAAATTTAACTGATATTTGTTGGTCACCTCTTATGTGTCAGGTGCTGTCTTTAGCACTGATGTACAGCATTGAACATACAAGATAAAATCCATGCCCTCATGAAATTTGCATTTTAGTAAGGGAAGAATATGACCTAGGACTGTCTGGTCCCAATACCTCACTCTGTTCTATAATCTCATATAATGCACTGAGGTGCCTTTGTGTCATGTTACCATTTTACAGTGAAGTTAAATTTTTCCCTTTTTAGACACAGCAGAATGTTGCACCAAGAAAACCGAACTACTATCTCCAAATTCTTCCTCCTGGGACTAATGGTGGGGTCTGAACAGCAGCAGCTCATCTTCATGTTGTTTCTATGCATGTATCTGGTCACCATGGTAGGAAACTTACTTATCATCCTGGTTATTATCAGTGACACTCACCTCCACAGCCCCATGTACTTCTTCCTTGCCAATCTATCCTTCACTGACATCTGCTTCATAAGCACTACAGTCCCTAAAATGTTGGCTGACATTCAAAGCCAGAGTCCAACCATCTCCTTTGCAGGATGCCTTACACAAATGTATTTTTTTATGTTCCTGGTGGACCTAGACAATTTCCTTTTGGCAGCTATGGCATATGACCGGTACATTGCCATCTGTCACCCATTACACTATGCTGCATTACTGAGTCCCGAGCGCTGTGCCCTGTTGGTTGTGACTCCATGGGTTATTTCCAACCTTGTGTCAGTACTGCATCTCAGTCTGCTGAGCCGCTTGACTTTCTGTGATCAGAGAGCAATCCCACACTTCTTCTGTGACCTGGAACCCATTTTAAGACTTGCTTGCTCAGACACCCAAATCAACAACTTGATAATCCTAGCCATTGGGGGAGCAGTTATCTTCATCCCCTTCACCTTAATTCTTGTCTCCTATGCCCTTATTGGCAGAAGTGTGCTTGGGGTTTCATCAGCCAAGGGGAAGTGGAAAACATTCTCTACATGTAGCTCCCATTTCTCAGCTGTGTCCCTTTTCTATGGATCCATTGTTGGGGTCTACTTTCTCCCCTCTTCTGCAGAAAGAGATAAGGTGGTTGCTATCATGTATACAGTTGTGACCCCCATGATGAACCCCTTCATCTATAGTCTAAGGAACAAGGACATGAAAAGAGCACTGAGGAGACTACTCAGCAGGAAAAGCTTTTTCTGGAGATGGTGAGCCCTACGATAAGAGATACCTATGTCAGCTTCCTAGACTTGGATGAGCACACGGAGGGTCCAGAACCTCAGGCTACTGTGCTTCCTTGGCAGTTTCCTTTCCATCCATTTCCTACCCCCAATCCAGGCCCAAGACTCTATATTAGAGATTCATCTCCCCTTAAAACACACACACACACACACACACACACACAAAAAAAAAAACCTCTCCTTTATGCCACAGTCTTCACCCCTTCTGTACAGAGTTTTCCCTGAATTAGCTTCAGTTGTGTAGTCAATGCTTAATAATAGTTCTCTAATTTTTGGTTTGTGTCTCCTTTCTCCCTCTAGCAAACATTAAATGCTAGATCATAGATAAGAAGAAAAGGCAGAAAGGAAGGCGGGAAGGTGAAAGGGAGGAATTGATGATAGCTCAAAATACAACTTCAAAACAGTAACTTGATTTTCACAGTAACACTTTGAGGTAAATATTATAGTGTTCCCATGTACTAGGAGAAAAAATTGTATTAAGAGAAGAAGAGAAAAAAACTGAGGCAAAAACAATCATGTCACTTGTTCTGCTCTGAGCCCTACAGAGGCTCCCCACCAAAGTTAAAGTTCTTCAGCATTTAAAATCTTCTATCACCTGGATCCTCCTACACTTTTAGGAATATGAGTCATCACTCACTACACCCCATCATCCTTGGCTCACCCTGCATTCTACTTACACTGGACATATTGTCATTCCTTGAGAAGTCTATGAATTTGCGTGACTCTTGCCTTTGTACATCTTATGTCCTTTCGCTGTGTCTCCCTCTCCATTCTCTCTTCCTACAGACATTCAACACTTTCTTGAAGGCTCGATATCAAGTGTTACATCTTCTGTGAATTCTTTCACAATTCTCAAACCTTTCTAGGTAAAATTACTCCCTTTTCTCTTCTAGGCTCCTATTGCACTTTATTTTGCTATTATGTCACTTATTGCTTATTATAATTATCAGGGTATGTGTTTCTCTTATCCAAGATGCCCTGAGCTCTTTGGGAGGGGGGTAACACTATGTTTTATTAATCTCTGTAGCACTAGCCTAAGTATAATGCGTAGAACTGAGTAGGTACTCAGTAGGACAAATCGAATAAAGAAGCTGTCATTTTTCAGAACAGAAAATTTAGCTTTAGTTTATTTTCTGCTGACTTTTTGAATAATCCTAGATGAATCAATTAATGTCTTTGAGCCTCAGTGTCCCGCTGATATAATCTGTGAATCAGTTGTAAACTTCTGATTCCTCGATACCCCTTTTGACCATATAGGACACTCTGCTGTTAAAATATTCTGATAGAGGGCTGTGAAAGTGCCATAATGGATAGGTGCCAGGAGTCCAAAATAAATCGAGAGATATAAAGAAAATCAGGCATTAAAAATACACAAGAAAGGCTGGCCCGTTAGCTCAGTTGGTACAGCCTTATAACACCAAGGTCATGGGTTCGGATCCCTGTACTGGCCAGCCACCCCAAAAATAAATAAATAAAAATAAACATACACAAGAATATGAGGGCCAGAGGAATATAAGAATTACTGTTCGAGTATGAGAGTTAAGACATAATGCCTTGGCCATTTTATGCAGTACCTATATAATATCCTAACGTTTGATCATGGAGGAAATTTCAGGCTTTTCATTCATGTGGTATTGCCACAATGTATGCCACTGAGTTATACTCTCCAGGTTGAATGAACCTGGTTCTTCTTTTTATGACATCTTTCAGGGCTGAGTTTGTGGCTTTGTGGTTACACAGGCACCACAGCGGTCTAGTCACTGCTACTCAAACTGTAGTTTGCAGACCTGTGCTAATCATAAAACTACTTTTTATTGCTCCACAGAGATATTGGGGTGAGATAAGCTTAGAAACTGAGGGTGAGCATTTGGAAACACAGAGAAATTTCACATTGCCATAAAATTTTTGTTTTACTTTGCAAGAGTGTCAGTCGACAAAAATTTGAAAATTAAAAAAAAAAAAAAAGAAAGCTGGTCATTTAACACCATTTGACTAACACTGGATTCTTCTTCTCCTTCTCCTTTTTCTTCTTCGTCTTCCTCTTCCTTTTCCTCTCCCTCTTCCCCTTCCCCCCTCTTTCTCCTTCCTCTCCTTTGTCTTCTTCAAGATAAAAAGTTAAGCAGCACCCTGTATGATGAATACCTTTTTAGCCAAAACAGTTAGGATTTGATATTTACTGGTTAATTTTAAAAGTCAATTTACGCAGAGTCTTTAAACATCCACCACACACACACACACACACACACACACACACACACACACACACACACACATTTATTTTTCTGAATATTCTATTTTGACTTACGTCATGCAAAGATTCATTCTTTAGCTAAACTTTGGATGTAGGGCCAAGACACTTTCTTGACTGTGGGTCAACTGACTGAGTTCTGTGTAATCGTTCTCACATAAACCTCACCCATAATGCATTATCTTTAACTTCCAGTTTTAGTTTCTTTAAAGTGAAGCAAGAACTTAAAGACACTCACAAAGCCAGCTAAGTGTATAGTCTTCCCTGGGTAGTTTTCAATTTTGTCCCCATCGTTTTACATCCAATTCAGCATCACTCTTTTTAGTAGCCTGCCTTTATTGGGTCTTTTCAACACATCTTGTGCAGTTCTTACCCAGACCAGCCTTGAACTTTATAAAGGAGCCTTTTCAAGAAATACATCATTTCCATTTTTAAAAAACAATAGATAATGGGGCTTAACAAAACAATTATTACCATGTAGAAAATGGATATGGCCTGCTCTTGGTCTGGAGAAAGGTTGACAGAATGTCACATATGCATAAATATAAAGGCCCCATAGAAAAGAATGGCAGCAGTCAGGTGTGAGGAAAAGTGGAAAGGCTTTGGATTTGACTGGAGCTGAGAGAATCCTCAAGAGAGTGACATTGATAAACATGTAGGCCATAAGGATCACCAGTAGAGAGCTTATCTGGATGAAGTCCCAGTAAAAAAGAACAAATAATTTATTATGTGGGTGTTTCAGCAAAAGAAGACCAAGAGTAGGGAAGTGTCACAAAAAAAGCTGCTCCTAATTTGGACCCATGTAAGCTAAATGTAAAGGTTCAACCTCCTAAAAACACAGTATGATTAACTCCATGCTTGTAGCATACAGTCACCGTTTAGATGCAACAAACCTGGGACAAGGTGACAGGATAAAGCAGGGGATATCTGATTGAGATGGAAAATAGCATTCATTTGTCACAAAGAGCAAAAATACCAGCATTTGGATTATACAACAAGAGAAGGAAGTCGTCTTCTCCTCCTGTGGCAGGGGACAAACAGAAATCTACGAAGAATAAGCTTCAGAGGAAGAAGTATGTGGTAGTATGGAAATGGGACTAATGCTGATAAGGACCAGCAAGCAAAGGTTTCTCACCAAAGGGACTCATATACCAAGACAGATACCCCAAAGGGGAACACTTGGATTTGAGGATCATATGTGATTCTAGATTAAAAAAAAAAAAATTGTTGCTAAACTTTGTCAGCAAACTGTGATTTTTTTTTTGTGGGTCCCTGACCACAACTACTACATCTTATTAGCTCAACAGAAGAATGTTCCATTAGTAGAAATAGCAACAGTTTGAATTTTTGTACACATACACACACACACACACACACACACACACACACAAACACACAGACGTCGATGGAGATATAGAGATATTACCCTGGAATATAGACTGTTGCTAAATACAAGAGTTCAGGTCTTTATTTCTGGAAGCCTGAAGCATAGGCCCTCCTATAGATCTCATCTGGGAAAACAGTCATTAAGGTTGTCTGTGATGTCAACCAGATCATAGGCTCTCACTCTCCTGCATAAGACATAGCCCAATGTTTTGTGTGCAGTAGATGATTTGAGAAATTTTCATAGTATTTTGGCTATGCAATCCAGCTTTGGGAAGATAACTAAAAAAAATCCAAAAGAAGGAAACAGTGTTTAGTACAAAGGCATTAATTGCAAAGGTCACTGAATTTTGTAATTCACTTCTATTTTATACATTCCAATATGTAGTTATGAGCATTTGGCTTCTGAAGTTCATTAACTCATTCCACGTGCATTTATTTACTCAGGATTTTGCCTAGGCCATGCACTGTTTTATGAGCTGATAGCACAGAAATAAAATATACAGTATGAAAGAGCTCACAGGTTAGAGGTGAAGATAGTCACAATACAGGGTAAAAAGAGTATGTAACTCAGGGTAAATATGAGCACTGAGTCCAGGTAACTTGTGTAAGGCTTTGGGACCAAGTGACTCAAGATTCCTTAGGATATTAACTGACATTCTCACTGCTTTGGAATGATATCATTCTGACATAAAGTATCTGCTATTCAGCAGGACCGTGGAATTGAACTTCTCAATGTCCTCTAAGACCTTGTCACAAAGTACTTTCATATACAGTACCCTACTTACTTCTGCTAAAATCTTACACTTTAAAAAACTGCATATTTTCTTAGGATTAGGGAATTCTAGCACACCCCCCAAAATGCCCCTCAAATACTCAGCATTCACTTGAATATATTTTGTATAATTGGAACAGTGATAGGAACAGAAAGCAATAAAAATGAAGCAGTAATCAGGATAGGGCAATAGCCTACATTCCTGGGAGAGGAGCACAAAGCTAAGACAGGGGAAAAAAAAAAGACATGTTCACTTTGGATTTCACAGTGGTCAAGGAAGTCTTTGCTAACACTATAATGGTAGGCCAATTAAGTTAAATGTGCCTCTGAAAATGATGTTTTATGGTGTTAAATGTACAAGATAAAAACACTTGATACGAAATCTCACAGGGTTAGGGTTAGGGTTAGACTCTAGTATCTAGAAGAGAAGTTCTCATCAATGGCTGCTCATCAGAATGCCATATGCTGTTACTAGAAACCCATTCTAGATCTATTTATTCAGAATCTCCGTGTGTGGGCCCTCATCACATGTTGTTTGGTTTGTGGGGTAATCAACTTTATTGAG